TGCACAGGCACCCATCCCCGTCGATCCCCCCGTCGGCGGCCTCGATGGCGACGTCGGCGGCCTTCTGGAGATTTTGTCCAGTAGCCCCGGGAAAAGCTCGTCGTCGGCAGCATCGATGGCGCCGTCGGCGCCCTAGTGTAATTCTCCACATTTTGGTCCTTTTTGCTCCAAATCCGCTCCATTTTGCATCTTTTTACTCCATTGACCTTAATTCATCATTCATGCAACAAAACATCAAAAATATCTTTCTTTAAAGTGCAATATCATTAAAAACAGTGTAAAAGATGTACAAAAATCTCAACATATTTTACTTTGGTCAGAATGCAACTACAGTCTAAAGAGACTTTAAACGGTGGAGTGATGCGGCTTCTCGCCTCCTAAAAATAGTTATTTATAACCAAAAAACTTCAAAAAAATTAATGAAGATTCTGATGTATTGAAATTATGCCCTATGAGTGCACAGTTGCCACACAATAGCACGCGAGAACGATTTTGTGCTTCCCCACGTTCGCGCGCTCACACCCAACATCTGTGTCCACTATCGCGTGCACTAAAGCTCACTAAGAGCACACCCACGGGCACCACTATCGTGCACAAGCCCGGGCACCCTTGCACACATAGCTATCTTGCGCACTCCTGGGCACCCCCAAAGGGCTTGGTCATGCATTGTTGCCACATGCGCAATCTCTGTTGTGTCTGCATGCCTTTGTGCATGTATTCGTTATCATGCCTGCATGCCCTTGCGCACATATTCGACATTGCCAGACCACCGTTGACCAATCGCCGTCGCCACCAATAGTGACAATGACAATGTGATCAGGTACAAATTTTTGGAACGTTTGAAGTTATATTTTTCAATACTAGCTGCATATTTTCAGATGACATAGACGACATCACACGAAAATAAGAGAGCAAGTGATGTGTAATAAATAAATTTTTATCAAGTATGAATATCAATATATTTTTATAAAAGATCTTCTAAAACAAATTTAAGATTGTCAGGGTTCAACAAGTTTATAATTAAATTGACCGTCTCGATAAGACAAACCCAATAATACAAAAATTGATTCAATTCAAATCTAATTAAGAATAAATCAAGTCATTGAAGTACATTTGGAGGCTTTGGATCGGCAATTGAATGGTCAAATAAACTATAAATTTAACATATTTATAGTCTAATCGAACATCTTTACGAGAGAAATCCAACGTGCATAAGATTGCTCAATTCCAAGGTTATTAAGATACATAAATCATTAAAAATCCACCTATGATTAAGAGGAATCAACATGAACAACTTGATCAGATAATTAGGGAAGTTACGCGCCAAAAGACCAAAACACCCCTTCCCAAAAGACTAAATAAACCCCCTCTTTACTTAGAGAGGGAGTGAAGAAAAGAAGTGGAATTTCAGAGCCTATTTTGGAAAGAAAACTCGACAATAACCACGAGGCTCCGTAGCCTCGGACAACCACAATGACTGCCCGTGGACCACTGTCGACTACCACCAGCTGTCATCATCTACGTCGCCAACCACCAGCAACCATCAACCCCTGCTTGCAATTATTATAGCCAAAATACAGATGTTGTACCTAACACCTATATTTTCTTTGTGATGAATAAAAACAAGTATAATTTTTGGTATAAAATTGGTGGAGTACTTTGATTTAGTTGGGCCCTGTAATATTTTCCCTTCCAGAGTTTTTCCACATAAAAAAATTTAATATTTTCCTACTTTTTTTTCATGTGTGATGAATCTTCGTGCAATGCTAAGATATTAAATTATTACTCTACTGTTGTGAATTTTCACACACAACAATAATAATAAGGGGCATTTACATACCGACCACCCAATTCCTATTGTATTTAATATCTAACACCCAAAATTTATTTTTTATATTTATATTATCCAAATCTTTTATATTACATACAAAAAAAAAATATCATCGCTTTATCTTTTAAAAAGTGAAGTATAATTTTTCAACCATAGGTTAGAAACATATATGTAAAAATTGAAGTTTAGCTTTTAGATATGTAAATACATAAGAATTGAGTGGTATGTACGTAAATTTGCTAATAATAATAAATAAATAAACAATGGATCTTTTTCTAAAACAAGAAAACTACAATTCTCTGTTAGGCAAACTACAATAAATAGAACATACTTGAAAATTAATAAAAATCGACTACTCTTTGGCTATATGATATAGACATTTTCTAGATCTGAACAATTTATTCATGCTATGGCAACTCTGCACATAGAGAAACAAGACCAATCTAAGATTTGAAGATATAAAAGAGAATAAAATAACAGGCATGCCGATGGAAGAACATAAAGGTGAGTGACTTGCAGATTAATCAGTTGAAAGAAAAATGAAATATTCGTCTTTCTAAGGAACTTAGAACATCCACCTTGGAGAGAGCTGGAGGACATTCTTTTGTGATCTAACCGGCGGCTGATCGGAGCCATTCCTCTTCTTCATGCTGGACGAGACAGTTGGGCTGTAGTACTCATGGCTCTTATGAGTAAGTGCTGCAGCATAGGAATGTGCTTTCCTCACTGGTAACATGCTATGCTGTTTCTGCAGCACTCCCTTTCTTTTTGTCGTGCTTCTCTGACCTGATGCCCATCTGCCATAATTCACACAACTCTGGCTCCTTCCAACATGATGGAACTTGCTTTCTTTGGGGGGACTAGGGATGTTTCTGCTCTCCATAGTCTCAGCTGAGTACATTGTCTCTCCTCCACTGCTGAATCCCTCACCCTCATTTGGTAGCTCAGAAACATCCAAAGGTGAGGAGCTCGACTGCACCACACTGCAGCAATCATCTTCTACAGATAGATTTTCTGGTTTTGAATCATGGCTAATATTCTCACTCTGTTCTGGAAGTAGTTGCTTGAGGGGCAGGGGCAAAGCGATGGATTTTGGAGCTCTTGGTGGGAAATTAATGTCTAAAAGCTGAACTGCAGCATTGTCTTTCCTTCTAATTGGCACTGAAGTAATCCTCGGAGATTCATATATCTCAGGAGTTGAAATACCTTTCCCATTAGCACCAACAATAGCAGTACTGCTTGATCCTTGCTGAAATATAGATTTTACAGCTATGTGTGCAGAAGATGATATGTTTTCCTGCTCCTCTTCAGGCTTGAAGATCTGGCGTTGGCTAAAAGAACAGGAGTGCTCACTTTTCTGCCCGGTGGACAACAATCGGATCAAGGGTAATTTAGGCTTAGTTAGCTCATCCAGGCTGCCCTCCCAGTGCTGATGTAACCAATCACAAATGATGGGAATAGGGATTCCAAACAGCAGCGATGTATCCCCCTTGCATGTTAAGGATGAGGATGAGGAAGCTGAAGAAGATCTAACGTTTGGAGAAGAAGCAAGCCTCATTGGGTCGCATATCATCAAGGCAAGGTTCCCTTGAGCATCAAAACCAGCAGAGCCCGGGCACCAAGTTCTTCCCTCGGCTAATAGTTTTATGAGATTATCAGTGGCAATCACTACTTTGCCCTCCCCAACTACCAGTTCTTTTTTATCGTTGTGACTTAGTAAATAAACGGTACTGCCTAGATCTAGACTAGGATTACCACAGGTTTTCAGGTAATATGGTTGATGTCCCTGTGAATTTGTTTTGGCATCTGCAGCATCTAGCCCAACTATTGTAAGATCAAGTACTGAGCTGCTGATAAAGAACCTGCAATGGGAATGAAGAAAAAAAAGAGAGAACTTGATACTCATGACCGAGACCATAAGAGAAAAAGAAATCCTGAAAACTGCAGCCATTGAAGCAAACCTCTCATCTTTTGGATATCCCACAATACTACTCTTCAATAATATGCCGCCATAACATGTAAAAGCTAATCTCCGAAATTATTTAATAAAAATGATCAACAGTTCAACATTTTCCTAGTAAGTAAAAGAGTGGGAACTTGGCTATGAAGTGGAAAGATATGCCAGTGACAGCATATGGTAAGTGCTAGGTCTCACAGCATAACAGAAAGTAAAAGAGTGATGAATAGAAAACCTATGTAGTCAAAATCATAGGTCAAGTGCCAGACAATTTATCCTCAAAATTACCAAATATAATGACATGCATGACAGTGCGTTTCAAACCTTCTGAATCAGTTCTTTATATATGGACTTTGCTACAAAATAAGTTATAATTGTATATCAAAGGTTTTCTTTTTCTTTTCATTTCTGTTATTTTGTTGCGTTTTCCTGCCTTGATATGCCTTCTTTCCTACTGCAACCCTTCTGAGTTCTCAGTGCCTCTTAAAAAGGTAAATAAAAAATAAATTTAATAACAATAGCATATAAATAAGATCACAATATTTGAACAAAGATAGATGAAATATGTCGATCTGTAGCAACTTTTATCGAGGGATCTATTTTAGTCATTTTTTTATATTCTCTTTCACTCTCATCTTTAGTTCCTGAGAATGAGAAACTAATGTTCAGATAGCTATATTAAATTGGATTTCAATATAATGGTATCATTCAAATTTTACGAAATAAATAATTAAAGCATGATTACTTTCTCTCTTAAGAATTTATACAACCATCATTGATAATCAGCCTTTTCACATTAAGTCAGAACAACCTTATAAAACCAACTATATTGATCCTTCACATTCGGAACTTCATCAGATTAAATTGCTATCAATTTGAGATCTATAATCTTTATCACTTCTATGTTAATCATTGCCAAATTTTCTTAAAGTCTCTTGCATCAGCCTGTAAAGCTTGGTGCATTGTAAATATAGATTAAAAAAATTTAAGAGGTAGCTTAAGTAGCAGTTCCCTCTGCCTTCAAAGATAGGTTTAGGTCTAAAATCTCCTAAAATCCAAAAGGTAAGAGTCTTTATACTAACCATGGTTTTGCTGATTTTGAGAATTTCCTCATTATGTTCATGAAGTAAATCTAGCAATGCCAGAGACAAAGAAAGCAATTGTTTACGCTTAAAGGTATGTGTAACCAATTGGATTTTCTGATAATCTAAATGATCAGTCACAAGTGTAATCAATATCTTTGTTAAGACAAATGCTGTATAATGGAAACATAAAATTACATATCGGATTGAAAATACCTAGGTGGAAATACATGATGCTATCTTGTTATAGTTGAAAGATATGCCCGGTACTAAATTCTGTATGATGGAAATGTAGAACTTGAGAGTATCAAAATGGAAATTAGAACATACATTCTAACTATTTTCAGGTAATTTTCAAAATTTTGGCCTGGTTACTCAATTAACAAAACTGATAGAGGGATGTCCCAACGAGTAACCACAGATAATCAAAACCTACAAAAATGTTCATGCCTTCTAATCCGTTGAAGCAATCGCTGAACTCAAGTCAATCAATCGAAACATCAAATAGATCACAGGTCTCGAAACTACATTGCCCTAAAAGTGGTTAGATCACAATCCGAGTACTAAGCAAGTCTTGTCCACATTGCCTGGCAAGAAATTACGACTTATCTCTCTCACACTGCCATTATTATTAGCAATAAAAGCAAAAGAAACCTGGAAACATGATTTAGAAAATAGGGATTTCAAGGGCACACAGACCTGTAAGGGGCGAGGCGAGCTGGAAGGCGTCCCAATTTGAGCTGGATCTCGACGGCCTCCGCCGCCGTGACTGACGACAGAGTCCCGTGGGTGGTGAGTAGGAGGTTTGGGTGGATGAGGAAACCGGTTCCATCTCCTCTGCCAGCGCCAGAGGAGATGGAAGCCATGGCCGGGCCCTTGCAGGAGACGAGGCTTCCCTTCAATCTCTCCGCTCGCTCTCCTCCACAGAAGCACCACCCCTTCCCTTCTCTCCACACCCCCATCACTATTCCGGCGGCGCCGGCGGCGGCGGAGTACCCTATTGCAGCTCCACAGATCAGCGACGAGCGCTTTCTCCCTCTCCTCTCACTGTCGCTCGCTTCTGATGCGTGACAAATAAGTGATGCTTTAAATTTTCTCCTACGTCCACCAAAACGTGACCCAGATGACAACCGCTCGCGTGGGTCCCGCGAATGAAAATCATCACCGCCATTAGAGAGGAAAAACTTTCAAGGAAGGAGTCCATGAAAATTAGCAGATGTTCCACGAGCCAAGCTCCGATAAGGATCCACAACGCGAAGATCAGCAATCAGAGAACTCCCAAAATCCAGTTGATGAAGATCACTAGGAACTCCAAAGGCAAACAAAACACAATAGTAACAAAAAAAAAAATTAATCAAATATGTACAAAAAAAAATATACCAGCACGGATCTCAAGATAAAATGGACGGCTCAGAAATATGACGCGATCGGTCGGCATTTTTGTTAACGATTAAATTTAGCAAAGAGAGTGTTTAGATTGATTGATCGGAAAGTCATCTCAGGGGATTTCACACTAGATGACGATTGACCTTAAAGCTAATTGATAGATCGTTAAGTTTCGAGTCAAATATAAATGGATTTAAGCAAGTCGAACAACCTACGAACCTCTCTGTTAGCCGACCGGCATCAATGCGTCAGTCTTCGTACATTCAAATATTTTTGTAATTACTAAAAAGCTTATTTGAAAGCGATGATAAGAGGACTGATCAATAGTTTTGCAAGATTGAGGCATATTCCTATAAATAAAGGGTGTATAACATGAATAAAGGTAAGCATTACTGTCAATCTTAATTGTGCATTCTCTCTTACTTCACTCTGCACAACGTTCTATACATCGGCTATGTTTCTTGAACACTTTTGGATTCACCATCTTTAAAGTGCGATGAGCGTGGAAATATCTCGTCAACAAGAAGAGAAGTCCAACAATAACAACAGGGAGAATCCAGACTGAGAAAAAAAATAGAAGCACCATACACTGAGGAGTTTATGGAAGAATTTGTTCAACAATATCTACAAAAAAAACTCAAATCATCAACAAGATGTAG